ACACAGCTTTTGGTGGACAGAGGTGAGAGGGCGGAAACCAAGGCAAGCCCTGTTCTGCTCCAGGCCTCAAACATGTATTTACTCGGAAAAGCATAAAACCAGATTCACCCGTCTTGTTGATATTGAGGTGATAGAAGCCCCAGCGTTGACTTTAATCAGCGACACCTCTGACAAATACTATCTTCAGAAATAGTGACTGTATTACTAACACTCAGCTACACTCCTAGTTAGTAGTAGTAGTAGTAGTAGTAGTAGTAGTAGTAGTAGAAATAGCAGTAGCAGTAACAACCTTGGTTTCATTGAGTCTGTCTTGACACATTCTGAAGACGAGTGAGGGTGAATAGTGCGGTAGTACCCGCGCAAAGCCTATTGCCGTTTAAGACTAGCTAAGACAGTGTTCTGGCCTGCATTGGAGAAAGCGATCTGCGCCCAAGCCTGTTCGACCATCTTGACTTTGTCTTGTCACCGGTTCAAACGGGTAAGACTTTAAAGTTAGGTAGACAGTTGTGCGTCTATTCCACCTAAATCTCGCCTCTGTCTCCAGTCACCATCCCTGCTCATGGTCGAGCCATCATTATAACGACGGTTTAGATTTGTTTGTAGGCTAATAGTAAGGTAAGGACAGGGAATATTTAATCTTCCTGGAATTATTTACAGGGCCGCCTTTATTACTTGGGCGAGGCGTTCCTATTCTCGTGTGCTGTTTAGGGAGCCATATACGTCAGCCTCGACTGATGTTTTTATGTGCAGGGAACGACTCTTCTGTCCTAATTTGGAACTGGGCGTTTCTTGTTATAAGCAATGGCAGTTTCCCTGGAGAAAACAAATTCTGTCTGGTATTACACGCTATTCAACAAAGTATATTAGTGAATTTGCATTTCTATCTTCTTCCGTCTATCCAGCAACTCGTAATACTGTTGATTAGTGATTATAAGTGCTGAAAAGTTTGGTTATTTGGAGAGAAATAAAGCAACTATGGAATAGAGAGCATAGTAGATGATCAAAAAGTATTGTCCCCCAATTGCTTCTGATAGGATTTAATACCAGCGACCTCTTGCTTCAATGGTTACAATTGTTATAACAACACTTCTGTTCTACTATGTTCGTCCTCATGACTACACACAAAAGTATTTCCAATACTCTTCTAAAGTAGCGGAACGAGAATTTGCACGCCAACACTTTAAATTCCATATAATAATTCTTGTTCAAGGCATAGGGTAAAACATGCAAAACTGCACTTATAGAAACATATAACCGATAAGCGGCCGATTTTTGCAAGTCTCCAGTCAACTTTCTGGCATGTGAATTTTATGAGCTTTGTCGAGCCTGAAATATCCTCCCTCGAAGTCATTTAGCCTCCCCAGTTTCCCCAGGCTGTGTGCGTAATAGCCTTTCGCTGGTCCTTAACTCGAGTAAGTCATGACTTGGCGGAAAGGGGCCACATGGGGCCTCATGCGTCTTCTGATTAGTTGTGGTTGTCGCTTAGGGGATCAATGAAACAATGCTGGACAATGATTGGATATTTGGCTGTATTCTAAAAACGGGAGTCAGGGCCTCCTGTCAGATAGGAATGCTTGTAATAGGTATCGTATAGATAAGGTAAGCGAAACTGGATTATAGCCGTTTTCGTGGAGCAAAAATCCTGCTTGTGCCATTAGCTTGTTTAAATGCACCAACAAAGTGCATAAACACAAGCGCTCAATTTGAAGCTGTCAACCAGTGGGAAAATTAAGACTGAGAGCATTTTCTATATATTCTGGGCAAGCAGGGCCCAGCCCGTGATGAAGAATCAAATTGAAGGAGATAGCGCGAGGAATATATCGTCCCATCACACTATCTTAACGACCGCAATGGAAGATAAAAATGAAGTTGCCAACGTTATGGCCAAAACTTTAATCCTAGACCTTCATTTACCTCTTAACCTTACCCCAGCCTTTAACGGTCGCCTCTAACGCTAGGCCAAATGCTGATGCTACTGGTAAAACTTAAGGGATACGTAACAAGTAATAAGCAAAAGGACAGAGCGGTTAATTTCAGCCCATCCAAATGATATTTCCCATATTGTGGTCCTGAAAGCAACTCTAAATCCCAGTATAGCAATTTACTTGCCGCAGTTATTCTCCTTCCAGCAGGTACATATTTATGGAAAGAGATTTGACGCCACGCACTGTGGTAGGCTTTATGTTGAGCTAATTTTTTCGAAGTCATGAAAATAGAGTTTTCTCGTGCGGCTAGCAGTCGACTAAGAATATATATATTTTCACCAAAATTATACATTTCTTGCGGAAGAATATGGACCAGAAAAATGCAAGCTGAATTTTTGCATCATGGATTCCATCAACTCCATGTTTGCCGCCTCGAGTTGAGTTTGTTATTGCTGAAGAATAGCTAACAATTGTTCTGTGGAGATGGAAAAAGTGAGTTCTGAATCTGCATCGCCAATTGTTGTTACGGTAGGCAAGGCCGAGATGTCACCGCCTGATTGAGCCTTGTATGCGGCCCCCAAGGAAGAACACGACAAGAAGTGGGCAAAAGCAGAAGTCTTTGAATGTAAAAGGTACAACATATTTAGGGCAAGAAAAGAGTGTAAGCTAGGTCTATCGAGCCAATCAGTTTCTGTCCTGGCTTGGCTACCGGCACGATTGCCTGGTGGCTCGACGGCTGACTATAGCTTGAATCTTAAATTATCGATCGATTGACTGCCAGTATTCGTTCGCCGCCTGTAGGCCGATCGATAGCCTGCCGTGGGCGCGGCTCGCACTTGCATGCTATCTGCCTGTTAGGCTTATCCTAAGAGATGTCACTTGATACCTGCCTTAATTCGAATTTTAATGGTCAAGACGCGTTCTCATAGGCATGTCGGAGGCATGGCGTTTCTGTGTCTGAGAAGAATCCAAAACAGGTACATGTGAGCTGAAGCAAAATAAATATTTCGTTTAAGTTGTGATATTCTGCTCAAGCTTCAATGTTACTGTTCTGTATCAAAGCACTAGAAGGCGCCGCCCAATAACCTTTTATTGGTAGGGATTCATAGTGGGGCCGCCTGAGGGAGGTTTCTAATAAAAAATGCTACTAACAAGTTTACCGTAGGTAGAATTTCCCCCTATCCAAACACTTACCTGACTAAGATAGCCAATAGGAGTTGATCTAACAGTTTTCTTGGTGCATATGCTTTCTTTTTAGATTTTTGTCTTTTCCCAATCTTCATCACCTACGTTTTTAGTTCAGTACAACAATTACTAGCGGCTTTAATTTATTTCTTACTGTGTACTTGTTATGCATCATCTGCGCATTAACCAAACATTAAACCTTTAACCACGAATTATGTAAGACACTTGGGCTGGAAAACGTTTGCCTCTGGACGGCCCTACGATGGGTCCGTGCCCTTTTTGGATATTAGGTGTCTTTCTATATAGAGGCAGTCTAAAAAGCAGTTCTTCATTGCCCGGATTCTACAACTAACACTAAATGGCCTTCTGTGCTCTGTTTTGCAGGACATTCTAACGGATTTTGTGCATATTGAAATGCTCTGGCATGCCAAAGCCCTGGAGACCTTCAGTGAGGCCTTCAACGTGGTGCAGAGCCTCCAAGAGGAGTCTGATCTGGCTGACTTCCGCAGTACCCTCCTCCGTTCAGGCACCCTTGGCAGTCTTGACGGTGACATGCCGCAGGGCGGACTACCTCTGAGCATGGACTCCAAGAGTCGCAGTGCCCCTCATCTCTCCAATTCTGCCAACTCTCTGAACTCCCGGGGTCGAGAGAAAACACATTCTCTTAGTCGTTCGAGGAAGCCGGCTGGAGACGTCAGGAAGCATACCTATGTACGTCCATAACGTTATAATAATGGGTTCTGCGTCGCCAGTGTTGTAACGGTGGCATCTGACGGTTGTCACCGTCGAATTAGGCCCCTTTGAAATCCCCAAGGAAGAACACAATAAGAAGGGAATAATTCTGCAATCCACCCGGAAGAGGGTTTATTGTGCCGCTGGTTGATCTCCAGCGTGCTCTTTGTCCCGCCTCTGGGGCAAGCCCTGGCATTAGGAGCTGGCTAGCGTGTCCTCTCAGTCCGGTGTGTGATGCAACTCTCCTGTGTCAGGGACGACAGTGGCTTATAAGGAATTGTAGGTCACGCGTTCACTTGTGGCCTGATTGGCCACACTGGGATAACTGCGACCAGTTGGCACGTGCGCAATCTCCTAGCATGCGTGCGTGCGTGTCCGGCTTGAGGTCATTGTGTGTGGAAAGTCATCGCCTGTATACTGTCAGAGCTAACAAACAAAGACACTTGGCTGGGCTCGCCACCTCGGGAAAGCCTCCAAATGTTGCTAGCATTTAGTCCGGCTAATATCCTAACAAATAACTATCTTTTCTTGCCTGGATGACT